TGTCCGTTGAATCGTCAACTTTCCGTGTCAGTGATGTAATCTTGATTCTTTACTTCCGCAAAGAAAATTGCATTATATATGTGGTGTGGTTTATTCAAATAATTTCATGATACTTTGATTTTATTAGTGCATGCCTTAAACATTTGAGAATGTAACTCTGCAAAACTAAAAGCTTTCTTGTCTTTTTTGAAACGTATATTATTGGATTATTGCCTATTGGCAAGTTCTACCCTTCGCTTCTGATATTTACAAACTATATTGAAATAATGCAAGTAAAAATAGTGACAAACCATACATTTTCCGATAACGACAAAACGTGGATGCAAAACAATACCAATAATTACAATAACCACGGTGATTACTTTTTAACAATGAGTTTAAGGATTAACACTGAAAATGCAAAATATGCATGGTGTGCTGTGAAGCGTCATAAGTCCTATTGAGTATTGATCTACTGTAACTGTGTAAAGCCCTTTCGATACATGTAATTGTAAATTTGTATTCTTACATGCAGGGCTTGAAATAACGTTCCCAAAGTTCCCGATCATGGTGATCGGCAGTCGTGACTTTCCCTGCTTTTTTTGGAAACCGAAACCCTGCTTTTCCGCCGATCATAAGCAATTCCTTGCCGATCATTGATCGGTGATCGGTTGTTATTTCAAGCTCTGTCTTAACAATTTTTAATTGATACTGATTTCAAATTATTAAAGCTATGTAATAAATATCCCATGCAACTGTTAGGAAGGGCGAAATTTTGAACGGAAGACGAAAATCCTAAAGAAAAGATGAAGTTTCTAAAGGGGGGCGAATTTCCTAAAGGGGGGCGAAATTCCTAGGATTTTCGCCCCCGTGGGGGGGCGATATTCCTAGGAATTTCGCCCCCCGGGGGGCGAAAATGTAGGGGGGGGGGGGCGAAAATCCTGGGACACCGGGACTACAGGATCAAACTAAATGAAAAATATAAACAATAATTTCAACCTTTTGAGCGAAGCCGCCCTACGTCAGCACGTTATAATAGCCAGGATTTCCGTATGAAGTTAAAACTTTTAGTCGTTGAAACTATAGGATTTGAGCGAATGCTTTACTAACTCTCCTCGTTATGTCATTTCCATCGTTTTGTGTTGGAGTCGAGTACTGGAGTCGGCTCGAAAGATACTTGCAGTGGCGGAGACTCCGCTACAAATATCGGTGGGGGGGGGAGGATTAGGTATGGTGGACACTCCGCTACAAATATGGGGGGGGCTATGTTGCCACTATATGACTACCTTTTTATAGCTGGAAATTTTGTTCTTGAGTTTTTGTTGCCTTAAATTGTTACATAATTATTGTTACAGCTTTGTTACACAGTTATTTAATAATTCAAAGGCTTTAAGAAATTATTGGGGGAAGCGCTTGTCCACCACTGGATATTTCTTCTTGGATATTTATTTCAGCATGATGTACAGAAAATTATCGACGTACTTGCCTTGAGGGTTTTTATTTCAAATATACCAGTTTAGTTTAAGTTCCGATATTCTATAACAACCTCATTAATACCTTGTACTCGCAAGAACTGTAGACGTAGAGTATACTACAGTGGGATGTACGACTTGAATCTCGTCTATAACATTGTTTTCGAATTTTTTTAGACTGAGGAGACTCATCCAATTAACTGGCGGCCAGAGATTGTGAAACGAAAACGATATTAAGAAATATCGTGGTAGTCAACCTTTCTGAAAGCCACAACCCTGAGGATATTTTCCACTCATGGTTTGAGACGTTTCTGCCCTGGTGAGAGGACAGCTCATGACAAATGTGAATATATTCAGTCAGTTCGCCAACGTATCGTGTTTTACACATAAGAACTCCCATGCAAGGATTTATCGTATAAACAGGCAACTGCTATATCCTGGCAATACATTACTATAGAAATATGATCACAACTTATTTTTTCCAGCGATAATTTGGAGGTGGTAAGTCCAAACTACGGGGTTTACTACCATCAGACTTTTTGAGAGAAAATAAAATTTTAAAACAAATACAGGATTGGAACCTGCGTGCATTCCCTCGAGTGTCAATGCTGTTTTTGAATAGCTGGAGGGTGAGTATTCACATAGTAAGGTACGACACTAACCCTCCAGCTATTCAAAAACAGCATTGACACTCAAGGGAAGCTCAGATTGAACCTCCACTCTTTCAGTGTGAGTGAGCTTTAAGCTTTTAGAACACATGCGATAGTCTGTCAAGATATGATAAGATCTTTGTTTGATGTTGAACTATACCTCACCATGCACAAATCCTTTGTCTCAACTTCATTGAATATTATTGATTGTAGTTACACGTTTCATATCAGCTATCCCTATTGGACGGTTACTTAATTATACGAAAATACAATGAGCTCAATCACCGTGACCGTGCACAAATTAACATAACCTCCGACAAAAACATCAAGCAATGACTTATGTTTAGTTTCCAGATCATCATATCTTGATAGACTATGCAGACAACAAAGTATAACTTAATTTTGTAGCAGTGTAACCCTCCCCATCCAGGGACGGATGTGACATGGGGGGCATCATTTTGGCAGGGAACGCCACTGGCTATCGTATGTTATAGGCTTCAAAGGCGGTAGAATCCCTGTGATGTTGTCCACTGTTCACCTCGTGTTCTTTTAAGCAAATGTGCCTGCTAAAAAATGCAAAATCTTGCAAGCCTGTGGACACAATACTGAAGTGAAGAACATCAGTAGATATGCATGTAGGAATTTTTTTTTGAGCGCTCTCTTTTGCATGATATTTTTTTTCTTGATTGTATGCTGCATGCTTTTTTTCCTTTCTCCTTGGATTGCAGGAAACTTTTTTTTCGAAATCTTCCAACCTCAAAAATCAAATGGTCCGCCCCTTAACATATTTAAAAGCTACTGAATATTTTTATTTTTTCTATGTTGGTGTAATGTACCCAGGCATAGTTTTCAAGCTTGCCCGGTGTGGATATACACTCAGAGTAACATCACAAGCGTGGCGCACTGGTGCATAATTCAAAATTCAGAATATTAGTTCTACTTCTGGAAAGTATCTGAAATGTGTAGACCTGAGTGGGATAGGCTTTGCCGTTTACCGCTTTGGACAATATATTCCCTTTTGATCTATGGATCCAATAGAACGTAAACTAAATGAAGTGCGCGTACATACTGCATTACTGCTGACCACTAGAAACTTTGAGTTAAATAATATTTCGAAGGCTTTCCGAGAAAAATTGACTTTCCAAGGAAAATGTAAACTTGGATTTTATAATGTTTTTTTCTGACCATCAGAATGGACCATTTGCATTATAGACTAAATTTTGATCTAGACAAATATTTCATCACAGCTTGAAAGAGCATCACAAAATTAGTAATATTCCAAAGTTGCGTTGCGAAATGTTGTAAAATGCGGAAAATATAGCCTTGCGAAATTTGCAATTTTCAGTCATTTTAGATTACTAACGGGAAATTGATGCCCCAACACCCGATTGGTCTGTCAATTTCCCGTGCGTAATACAAAATGACTGAAAAACGGCAAACTTCGCATGGCTATATTATCCGCATTTTACAACATTTCGCAACAAAACTTTGGAATATTACTAATTTTGTGATGCTCTTTCAAGCTGTGATGAAATTTTTGTCTAGATCAAAATTTAGTCTATAATGCAAATGGTCCATTGTGTAAAATCTTCCGCCAAAGTCCAGGAAATGGTATTTCAGAGACTTTAAATTTAAAAATTTCTCGGGAGTGCATGCTCCTGCACCCCCCAGGTATCTCGCGTCTTTGGAGATCAGTCTCGTGCCTTTGGCAATCGGCACGAGATTTAAAGAAGTGAAAAATTCGGTGGTGCATAAATTTTCGACCGGTTAGACAAACCAATGGTGGACACAAAAAATGATCAACTTCCTTGTCCGGTGCACGAAAAAGTTACATTCCATACTGGCATGTCTTTGAACGCGTTCTGTACGCTTAATGAGGTCAACAGTTTGTGGAGCCCAGACTTGGGACGCGTATGCGAGGTGGGAACAAACGAGTGCAAGATATAGATTCCGTCGAACAGAGATAGTCTAGATTTTGATCGTGGACCGTCGAATATACCCGACGGATTTGTTGGCTTTGGCGTACTGGTGGAGGACTTGTTTGGACCATGTGGGTGGAGGAGGTCCAGACGCCAAGGTCACGTTCGCAATCTGTGGTTTTCTGCAAGGCCGGCGAGAGGGGGGGGCAGGAGGGGGGGGGCAAAATACCAGGGGCCGGAGTGCTCAAAGGGGGGCCGGAAATCTCGGTAAAATGTTCGTATTGTTTATAGTAAGTAAGTAAGTAAGTGAACTTTATTTAACCACGGTAGACTCATCAGGATTTACAATAAAATAGACAAGGGACATTACAAATAACAAAATATGGAAATACATTATTAATACCTGTTTTCCATGAGTGCCGTGCATTATTAAAATAATGTAGATAGGAGTAAAAATATTAAAATTATCGAATAGTTGCTACAATCAGCCTTGAATTTACTAGCCTGCGAACAGGCTCTCTATGAATTTACGTAAAGAGCTAGCCTACCGTAATTCTGTAGGAAGAGAATTCCACAGTACCGCACCACTGTAACTAAAACTATTTTTCAAATAGTTTGTACGCGGTTGTGGTATCGCAAGTTTGCCGGTGGTGTGTCTCAACGTATAATTTCTAATGTTACTGCGATCAACAAACATTTCGGAGAGGTAATCTGGTGCAAGGCCATTCACAGATTTATATACCATGGTAGCCTTGGCAATCTTACGCTGAGATGCAAGATTTTTCCAACCAAGTATTTCAAACAGATAATCGGTATTCGTATCATAACTGGATGACGTCAGTACTCTTGCGGCACGATTTTGTAGTTTTTGTAGTTTATCCGCACGAGTACTCCCGCAACTATCCCAGATAACTGAGCAGTAGTCGAAATATGACTGGACTAGACATTTGTAAATCAGTTGCATTGTGGAAGATGAAACAAAAGGTCTTATGCGCTTTAAAGCACCTATGCCACTAGCAACTTTTTTACACAATTTTTCAATGTGAACATTCCAGGACAACTTCTCATCGA